ACCGGGCCGCCCCTCCCGCTCCTACTGCAGCAGCTTCGGCACCGCTACCTGCCAGAGAGGACACCTCGTTACTGGGGGGGCAACAGAGGGGACACTGGGCTGGCTTGGGGACACTGGGACAGCTTGGGGACACTGGGATGGCTTGGGGACACTGGGACAGCTTGGGGACACTGGGACAGCGTGGGGACACTGGGATGGCTCAAGGTGCAGACCCACCGTCCTGGAGCCAGGCATCTCCTCTCCATTGCTGCTCCATCCTGACCAGGCTGGTTGTCCCCACGCTCCAGCCAGGGCAGCCCGGCCAGGGACATCAGCCACCTGGGCTGAGAGAGATGTTTCGAGTTGTCCTGCTGGGACCATGGATGGGGACACAGCTGCTCTGGCTACCCTGGGCTACCTGCCCCTCCTCAGCAAGAGCTCGACAAGCTGCCGCCCTTGAGGACCTGCTGCCTGCATGGACACGGCTCCACGGAGGTGCTTGTGAGCCTCCAGGAGCAGGAGGAGAAGGTCCTAGATCCCATCCCTAGGGTTACAGGTTAAAGCTGGATTCTTCCTTGTGTCCCACACCCTGGAGCCAAACCTGATGGTTGGGACAAGGTGGACCCGTCCACCCCAGGGGCTCTGCCATGGGAGGGATCTGTTCCTTGCTCTCTGCCAAGGGATGGATCTTCTCTTGGATATATCTGCCCCACCACGTTCTCTGTGCCAGGGTTGGGACCAAGGATGCAAGGAGAAGGACAGCCCTCACCTCTCCACTCCCCAAGTGACCTGACCTCAGACCTCAGCCCACAGAGGAACCCTGGGTGGAGCCCCCCATGGCCCTGCACTTGCCTTCTTGAGCTGCTTGAGGTTGCTGGAGCGGATGGCCGCCAGCAGCTGGTCCCGCGAGTTCTTCTCCTGGACGGGCAGTGCCCGGTCTCCCAACTTCCTCTGGGTGGCTGGGGAGAGGGAGTTCCTCAGGTTCTCGTTGATCAGCGGTGGGGCCAGCGGAGGGGGCGGCGGGGGCGGCGCCGTGGGTGCCCCCCCTTTCTTGGGAGAGCTTTTGGGGGAAGCCTTGGGCGACGGCTGCGGGGACGGCTTGGGAGACCCTTTCGGCAGGGCTCCAGGTTTAGGCACCTCCAGAAGGTCTTTCTTCTCCCCACGTTCCTGTGCCAGTTTCTGCTCCTGGAGGCGTTTCTGCCTCTGCCTGTCCATGTTCCGGCTCAGCAGGTTGGTGACCGTCATGCGTGGCCCGGCCAGCTCGAAGTGGTAGCCCAGCTTCAGGAGGGTGGTGTTCTCCTTCAGGAGCTTGGCGATCTCCATCTCCGTCTTCCCCCCGCAGATGTGCCTCTGGTTGTGGAACCTCAGCTCCGTCAGCGTGTCGTTCTGCAGCAGCGCCCGGAAAATGGCCAGGATGCCTTTGCCCGTGATGTGGTTGGAGTCCAGGTTGATGCTGGTCAACACCTTGTTGGACTTGAGCATGATGGCGATGGCGAAGGCCACGTGGTCGTCGGCGCGGGTGTTGGCCAAGGCGAAGAGCTTGACCACGGTGTTGAACTCCAGGGCCTCGGTGAAGCGCACCAGGGTCTCGTTGTTGATGCAGTCCGAGTTGTTCACGTTCACCTCGGTCACCTCAGCGTCGTTGTTCTTCACCTTCTCGATGAGCTCATCAAAGATGCTGGAGGCCTCGTCATCCTTGGCCTGATCCGGGGGGCTGGTGGTGCTGGTGGGCTTGGAGGGGCTGCTCTCCGCTGCCACCTTGGTCTCCTGTTTCTTCTCCCCTGCTTTCTCCTCCTCTGCCTGGGATTTCTCCTCACCTGCCTTGGGTTTTTTCAAAGCTGAGCTCTTTTCCTCTTCCTTTTTATCTTTTTCTTTCTTATCTTCTCCCTTTGTGTCTTTTTCTGCCTCTTTCTTTAATCCCGAGCTCTTCTCTTCCTCCTTTTTGTCCTTCCCTGGGCCCTTCTTCAACACAGAATCCTTTTCTTCTTCTTTTTTCTCCTTCCCTGTCTCCTTCTTCTCTGCTGAGCCCTTCTCTTCCTCTTTTTTCTCCTTCCCTGTGTCCTTCTTTAAAACTGAGCCCTTTTCTTCCTCCTTCTTCTCCTTCCCTGTGTCCTTTGTTGCTGAGCCCTTTTCTTCCTCCTTTTTCTCCTTCCCCATATCCTTCTTCACTGCTGAGCTCTTCTCTTCCTCCTTTTTGTCCTTCCCCATCAGCTTTTTCTCCATGGCCTTGACTTTGTCATTGATGGCTTTCTCCTCTTTGGCCTTGGTCTCAGTCTCAGCTTTGACTTTTGGGTCTGATTTCTCACCATTTTCTTCCTTTTTCGAGTCTTTCCCCACTTTTGTCTCCCTTTTCCGGGCCAGGTCTTTGGAAGGTGCTTCCTTTCCCTTTTCTTCTTCATTTTTGTCTCCCTTCTTCTTCTCGCTCAATCTGCTTTCCTAGAAGAACAACCCAAGATGTTACAGAGAGAGAAGACTCCAACCTCCAGACTTGCCACCCCAGTCCATTGTCACCAACTCTGCTCCATGAGCAGCCATGGGGAAGATGTGCAGGGAAGTCCTCAGGAAGGTCTTGGACTGCACCTACAAGGGATGAGCTTCCCTCATCCAGGTGTTTATGATGTAAAGCTGCTGAGATCCTGGTGCAGGATCTCCAGGAGGCACCGAGGAGCAGGGGGACAGTGAGCACTGGTCTATGTGGTGACAGGGGACAGGTCAGGACCTGCTCCCAGTGGGATGGTTTAGCCCTGAATACAGACCAGAGTCTCCTCCACCTTACCAGAGGGTTTTCCCACCCCACATTCACAGCCTCTGCTCTGCCTTTGGAAGAGGGAAGTTCAACCCAGCTGAGATCCAGAGGATGGTCCAGCATCCCAGTGCCCCAAGCGTGGGCATAGCCTGCAGGACCCAGCAGGGCTGAGCTCCTGAACATCTCTGCTCTCCTTCTGCCTCCATCCCCTTTCCAAAGGCCTCCAGGGGTTTGTGGGATGTCCTCCTCATCCCCAGTGCACAGACAAGAACCCAACAAGTGGCAGCATGTCCCTTACTTAGTGCTGTGTGACCCCTTCCTACCCTACCTCCTATGAGTTGTCCTCTTTTAAATCACCTTTTTTGTCTTCTTTTTCATCATCTTTTCATAGAATCACAGAATCATGGGATGGTTTGGGTTGGAAGGGAGCTTCAAGATGATCTAGATCCAACCCCCTGCATGGGCAGGGACACCTCCCACCAGCCCAGGTTGCTCCAAGCCCCATCCAACCTGCCCTTCAACACTGCCAGGGATGGGGCAGCCACAGCTTCCCTGGGCAACCTGGGCCAGGCTCTCACCACCCTCACAGCAAAAAATTTCCTCCTCATGTCCAACCTCAATCTCCCTCTTCCACTTTTCATCCATCCCCCTCATCCCATCCCTCCCTGCCCTTGTCCCAAGCCCCTCCCCAGCTTTCCTGGAGCCCCTTCAGGCTGGAAGGCCAACTTTGCCAGGAGGACTTGAGGACTTCAGGGAAAGGAGGAGGAAAGATGCCACTGGGAGACCCTGCTGTGACACCTTTCCAACCTCCCAGGGCCAGGACAGCACGGTGGTTCCATTCAACACCTTGACCCCCCCAGACCAAGGTCCAGACAGCAGCTCTGCAGCCAGGGTTGGCCTCCTCCCCCTGGCAATGCCCCACTGCTGTCCCAGTCCCCTGTGGTGGCCACGCCAGGGATCTGCTGGCCCTCAGGGACTGCTGCTGTGTGGGAAGAACTGGCTGTGAGCAGGGACTGTTTGTACCTGGTGTATAAACAGATGCCATCTGGGGCCAGGGAGATGTTTGTTTAGTTAAGAGAGTTCTTGGCTCCCCTGCGTGGACATAAACAGGCGACAGAAAGGCACATGCCAGGCCCTGGCAGAGTCTTTCCCTGCCTCCACACTGGCCACTGCCCACCCCACGGATGCAGGATGGGGTCCCAGAGGTGCCCCAAGACCACCAGCACCCCCTGTGACGTCCCTGTGGTGTCACCTCCTCTGGTGCTGAGCTGCCCACCCAGATGTGCCCTGATGGTGTGAGGGTGCTCAAGGCCATCCTGGGGCACCTCAGAAGATCTGCCCTGGCAGGGGGTGTGTGGGGATGGGGACTTGGCTGCCTCGCTGTCCCCTTCCTCCCATCCCAGTGGTGCCTTTCAAAGGTCTGTGGGGATGTGCCAGGTTGGAGGAGGTTTCTTGGGGGCTCCTGGGAGAACGGAAAGGTGTCCCCCAGGGCTCTGCAGCCCTGTTGTGTCCACAGGCTGAACATCCAGTTGCCTCATCAAGCTGGAGGGGCTGGAGCACAAGCTGAGGGAGCTGGGGGTGTCCAGTCTGGAGCAAAGGAGGCTGAGGGGAGACCTGCTGGCTCTGCAACTGCCTGAGAGGAGGTTGGAGCCAGGAGGGGTTGGTCTCTGCTCCCCAGGAACAAGGGATAGAACAAGAAGAAATGGCCTCAAGTTGTACCAGGGGAGGTTCAGTTTGGATCTTGGGAACAATTTCTACATGGAAAGTGTTGTCAGGCTGTGGCAGGGGGGGAGACCCCATTCCTGGAGGGGTTTCCAAGCCCTGGAGATGGTGCTGAAGGACATGGGGCAGTGGTGGCCTTGGCAGTGCTGGGGGAATGGTCGGACTGGAGGATCTTAAAGGTCTTTTCCAACCCAAAGAATTCCATGATTCCATGTTCTCCACACTTACTGCTCCAAAAAGCCTTCTCCTTCCCAGCCCAAGCTCGCCCAAGTTGACACTGGGGAGCTCTGAGCCTCCCCTGAGCTCCCTGGGCCCACCCAAGACTGAGCAGAGAAAGGCTTTGGGAAGGAGCAGATCGTGGTGAAAGGGAGGAACACCCCGGAGAGCAGGACCTGCAACATCTCCCACACTTGGAAAACTTGGGTTTCTCCAAACAAGGTGAAATTAAAGCAAAATAAGATGCACAGCAAATCCCTGCTCAGTAAAGCTCTCGGGAATGTCTCGTTATCCCAGCAAAGTGTCCATCCATGATGTGTTCCCATGTGTCCAGGTGCTGTGGAGTGGGGCAGGTCTGTGGGAGGAGGGCTCTGGAGCCAGGGTGGGATGTGGAAAAGGAACAGGGGGAAAGGAGTTGGGGGAAAAAGAGCCAGGAAAAAGGAGATGAGGGAAAATGATCTGAGGGAAAAGGAGCTGGGGAAAAGGAGATGAGGGGAAAAGGAGATGAGGGGAAAAGGAGATGAGGGGAAAAGGAGCCATGGGAAAAAAAGGAGATGAGGGAAAAGGAGATGAAGGGAAAAGGAGCCATGGGAAAAGGAGCCATGGGAAAAGGAGCTGGGGGCAAGAGGTTGGGGTAAAAGGACCCACAGGAAAAGGAGGCAGGGGAAAAAGACCCAGCCCCAGGTGGTGCCACCAGTCCAAGCTCTCCTCACTGGTGACACAGCTCTCACCTCTGGGCTGGAGATGAAGCAGGTTCTCCAGCTGAAGTTCAGCAGAGGGGCTGTGAGGTGGGATGGTGCAGAAGAGGAGGGAGAAAGGGACCCTTTGCTGGTCCTTCAGGCTTGTCCCCAAAGCCACTAGCCAGGCTGGCTCCAGCTGCCACCACCAGCCCTCTACCCTCTCCATGGCCATGCTGAGTCCTGCCTGCTCCCTCCTCTGACATATTTACCTTGGATACCTAGAAACCAAGGCTGCTGCACCCCCTCCTGTGCTGTTCCCTCTGCTCCCAGCACGATTATTAGGGGAATATTTTTACACAGCGTGTCAGACCTTTAAAAATAAGCCAAATGAAAACAGCCTGGTACTTGGCTGATTAATCACCAGTGTTTTGATGAACTGAAATGCCTCCTCGTTTCCTCTAAATAGACTAAAATGAGCATTGCCATTACTTGTTAGCATTTGTAACCCTCAAACCCACTGAGATGTTGCCTTAAAAGGGAAAGGAGACTGGGAAGTTCTTGCCTGGAATCCGAGCAGCTCGCTGAACAGCTCAGGAGGCTGGGAATGGGGTGGGATGGGTGGGAGATCCTGGGATCTGCTGGGGGTGGTGGGGATGGGATGGTGGAGGGAGGTTCTTGTCTCCTGCTCTGAAGGCTCCACGGCTGGTTTTGGGGCAGCAAATGGTTCCTTGGGTGGTAGGGATGGATCTGGTCAGGGTGGGAGCTGAGAGGTGGCAGAGGGAAGGGCACCCTGGGGTGTCATAGATGGGTTTGTAGGGGAAAGGGGAACAGGGAGGAGAGGGGAGAGGGGAGGAGAGGGGAGGAGAGGGGAGGAGAGGGGAGGAGAGGGGAGGAGAGGGGAGGAGAGGAGGAGACCGGTCAACTGACCAGAATCAGTTTCAAACTTTTCTTAACAAGTTGTCTAAAATAAAACCAAGAACAATAATCTTCTGTTAAGAAAATGATAGATGGTTTTTGTTTTCTAGAATGCTGAAGAAAAATAAAACATACAAAAAATGAAATCTTATGAATAGTAGAATTCTGATAATTTGTAATATTAAATTGCAGTACTCCTTTCTGTGCAGTCTATTACTTTCATTGTGAGTTATGGCTGCAGTGACACAGAGCAGTTTCTTCATGATCTAGAGGCTCTAGCATTAGTAGCTGTGTTGTACATATTCTTCATGCTTTCATGAAGACTGGATTAAAATGATTTTACATGTAGAAATATGTACTCAGAAGACTAATGAATTTGTTTTCTTCAATATTCTTCTAGAAGCCTAATATTTACAAATGTGTTCATTGTTAGTCTAGTATTGTAAGTTAATATATCTAAAGATCACTATTAAAAAATCTATCTCATCTGAAGTTTAATTTTAGTGTTCTTTTTTTTTTTTTTTTTTCAGAAGCCTTTAATTTAAATGGCTATTAATTTAATTTCCTTGCAGGATGTCTTGATATATGTTATTTGTTCATAATGATACTTTTTTATAAGAAACAACTGTTTTAAAGGTGAAACAGTGGAGTTGACCAGATATTGAAGAGCAGTATGAGCTTCTGAACTATCAGCACTGCTTTTAAGGGAGCAATTGAACCAATACATGGCCTTCAAGAAAAAGTAGTAATACTACACTTGAAATTCAAAGAGCTGATGACAGAACTCGTTGTGGTAGTGGTGTGTAATAGGTACCCACGATGCAGCTAGGAAGATAAACACTAAACCACTGTTTTTATCATACTAGGAGAGGAGAGGAGAGGAGAGGAGAGGAGAGGAGAGGAGAGGAGAGGAGAGGAGAGATTGCAAAACTTGTAGTACCCAAACTGCAGGAAAGGGGCATTTTGTGGCCCGGCTGCTGCTGTGACATCAGTCCCTGGCCAAGAGGACATACAGAAATGCATTTGTAATAAAAATGTTTGGTCTCTGGAAGGGGCCAACTCTCAGTTATTTTCAGACGTGTGTCCTGGGAAGAGGCCCTCAGGGTCTGGATCCCCAGGCTGGACACAACACCCCACCCTGAGCACAGGAAAGTAGG